TTGATAATATTATAATTATAATAAATAGGTTTAGTTAAGACAGCCAGCTAGAAGAAAAATTATGTGTATAATTGTATATGGTAAGTGTAGTTTTTCTGACATTCAGTGGAGCCTGCACGTTCAAAAATTATACTGGGCCTTAAAATCAGCTACATCAATAGAAAGATATATTTTTGTATGAAAACAGTCCACACAAAGCTCATCCATACTATAGCTGTAAAATGTATTGTAAGCAATGACTTTTGCCATTTTTTGCCTATGGCAGGTGTAAATTAAAGTCAAATAGTGTATATGAAAATGAATGCCAATAACAAGAAAACCTATAGACAGTGTTGTCATACGTAGCCTTTAGTTTATTTCTTAATGAATACGTGCCATGTAACATCTATTACTATTTTATTAGTAACAAAGACATGGAAAGTAAAGAAAGATTAGGGGAGAATGCTACCATTTGTTGACTCCCAGATCACACACTAGGCAGTAATGCTTAAAGGAGAATTATGGGGAGAGTGAAATACACTCATCCCCATAACTAGAGCCGACGTATGACACTGAAGCTGTCGCACATCGGCTTTATAGATCGAGTATTAAGCTATCACATACTGCTGATTGCTGAGTTCTTGATTTGCTCCCTGCAAAAGAGCGGTGACTGACATCCCCTCTCCATTCCTCCAGCACTAACTGGATAGATGGAGGAGTGAAGGGGTGGGCACAGCTTGCAGAGCCAGCTGTTAATCATGTGGCGGGTTGGACCCTGACAATATTGTCTGGATCTTTCTTGAACACAGTGTGGCTCTGTGGTGTTAGCATATAGCAAGCAATAGCTTTGGTCTAGGGTCTAAAATAAAAAAGATATACTCACCCATTTCCACCTGGCTGCTACACTGGTTCGCCTCCTCTCCGGCTGGCTCCAGTGGTCTGATGACCCATGAGCCATCATGTCTAATACAGTGCGTTAGATGTGAGAATGCCGAAGGACATTTCATCACCAGTGCGGAGGGAGAGAGAGGTGAGGGATCTCTGCAGCAGTATCGGGTTTCGGGTGAGTGTATCCTCTTTATTCGTCCCCTAGAGAAAAATTAGCAGTTAACCCTTGCAGTGCAGGGGTAGCCTCACTGCGAAGGTTTATGTTTATTCCACTGGAGTTCTTCTTTAACCTATTAAGCTTCACTGTATATGTTGTACCTGCTCTCAACCTAGCATCTAGCCAAGTTAGAAAATGGCAGTGTCTCGTTGAAGCTTCTCATGCAGGTATTTTGCTTTGTCACAGATTCCCCTTAATATTGACTCTCTAAAATAGATTCTGTAGCTCCTCCTGCTTTGAACACTATGACTTTTATGTTTGTGCTGCAAACTACATTAAAAGGAAAGCTGTCTCGTTATGAAAATGCTAGTTGTCAGACTGAAGCTTCAAAACTTTGTGGGGTTGATTTACTAAAGGGAAATAGACAATTTGATTTGCAAAGTAATGTTCTCATAGCTTAGTCAATGTAGCGAAAATTCACTTTGCAAAGAATATCCGATTTTTGCTTGCCTGGGATTGAATAATGAAAGTCAGTAGAGCTTCAATTAATTCACTAACTTAGCAACCCCACTGACTCAGAGGAAGTATAGCAATAAGGATTTCTCACATCTATGGCTTTCACTTGCTGTGTACTGGCTCACAATCTGTGACCCAGAAATATTCAAGCCAAAATTTGTCAGGCGACTAGCATTTGAGAAGAGCATTAATACATAGCAACTCAGTATTGGCCTTAAACCCTTAAGTATTGATGGACTAGTGAAAGCAGATCTGTTACTGTTTAAGTCAACTGCATATGTCTCTTTGTATAAAGATTGGGTATCTTCGTACTAAACAAGTAAAGTAGTCTAGAGAAAAAAGTTTGAGAGGTTTCATTTCTCCTGTTAGATACTTAGGATATCAATCTGACTGAAAATCCAACAGGGATCATGGTATACTTTGGTAATGACTATTAGCTCCCAACTGTCCCTCATTTGGAGGAAATTACCCTCTTTTGCAACAAAAGCCCTCTGTCCCTCTTTCCTTTCCTCATCAGTTGTCCCTGTTTGTGCATTAGAGTAGAACTAAAGCCAATCTTTTTTTTGAAAAGAGTAAGGGAGGGTTATAACCCCTATCAGCTTAGAGTCCTATTAGATAAATTTCCCTTCACTTCCTGTTCAATGGCCACAACAGGAAGTGAAAGAAATAATGGTGGTCAGGATCACTAGAACTAGTGTTTCCATTGGTAGGTCTCCCATCTACTCCTGTTCTGATGCCAACCCAAAATGTGGGATTTACTTTTATTTTCAGTCACCAGAACAAATAGGAGGAATCTCCCTAACAGGGACACACACAGTAATATGAACCTGCCAGGACTTTTAATCCATCTCCACTCTATCCACTCTATCTCTCTTGCAATGTAATGTATATAAATTTGTAAAAATGAACTTTGCCTACCAAAAGTGTAATACTACACTAAACCTTTGAGCCAGCCTCTAAATTAGTGCATTTGTTTTTTAAGTCAGTATAAAGGAAGCAAAGTGGTATAAACAATTTTTTTGTAGGTTAACCTAATCATTTTTGGCATGTGCAGCTGGGGCCATGACAGGCGTGTGTCCTTTGACTATATAGTTTGTGCTAAAAGGTGTCTCTTTGTGAGTCATTTTGAATGGGACCCCAACACACTAAGGCACCACAGCTCAGATGCGCAGGCATTGCTGTGCACCACAATGTATTGTAGCATACTACCTTGTTTTGTGGTGCGCAGCATCAGAAAAAATGCTGCATGCTCTTTTTTGGTCCGTTTTTGGTGTATTAACTGCCTTTTATCTAAAATATCAGAGCAAGTAAAGAAGAAATATTTACTTTTAGTATAAATTATTTGTTTTTATATTACATATGTTTTTATACTGTACATATTTATTCATATTACTAGTAATTTTGCTCTTCTAAATTATTAATATAACTGTAAATACTGTTTACGACTATGCCAAACCTTTAGATGATCAAATTATACAGAGAGCCTGAAAAAGCTCAAATACGCAGGCTGAAGCTGGCCATACACATATAGATTTTCTGCACATTTTCCATGGTCATATGGAAAAAGTGAACAGCTATGCTAAACTGTGTGGATGGAGGAATCTCCCACAGGGCCAAGCTTCAGTAACCTGCCACTTGGCTCTCAAAATACCTAAACAATGCCTGAATCCAATCAGATTGTTCAGGTATTTTGACAGCCAGCAGGGCTGACTAGCAAGATACTGAATCTTGGCCCAGTGAGGGATTCCTCCAGCCACACATTTTAGCGTAGTTGGAGGAATCTGTCCTTTCAGATGAAATATGTTTCATCTGACCATAGACAATCTATAGGTGTATGGCCAGCTTAAGATTTGTGGAAAGGGCACACAGGTCAAGGCCCAAAGCAGTGCTGTTTTAGGGCCATGTCAGATGGGCAAAATCACCCTAATGGAGTTGCTCGCCACTTTCCCAGAGTGCTGCAGAATCACACTTACTACCCAGGAAGAGGTTTCTCACTGGTTTGGCCATTGAATTAGGGATTCCATAGGAAAAGTTGTCCCTTAGCAATCCTGTCAATGACGATCTTTTGCTTTTGTCGGGATCACTCATCTACCTTAAATAGTAAAATTCTTGTTTCATTACCTAATCAGTGTTTGATATGTAATTTTCATGGAAAATATACATTTTAATATTTTTATAATTTAAATGTGGAATAGAATTAGCTCAATAAAAGTGCCATGGAATGCACATTATTGACATTTGGCCCATATATTTTTATACACACTCTCTTAGTATAGTTATACTCATAGGATTGAATTATTATTATACCTATTTGTCTTATATGATAGGATTTGAACAGTGATGATTATTTTCTTGATGATTTATAATATTTTATTTTTTCCCAAACTTTGTTTAGATGGGAGGTTATGTAGATTTATCATTGCATGATTTTCTGGATTCGGTTAGGTTGGGATTATCTGTCACGTGTGTTAATGGATATGATGTTATTTCATACCTGTTCCCTATATATATATATGGTAATTTGTTACCTTGTATGTATCTAAGGCTTCACAAAGGGCATAGCATGCCTAAAATGCTTGAATCCAAGTTACTGAAATGTAGACATGTGCACCAGAAAAAAAAATTTTAGTTTTGATTCGGATTTTGCTTTATTTAATTTTTCGGAATTCGGGTCCGAAAGTCAATTCATTTTGGAATTCGGATTCGGCCGAAATTTGTTAGCGGAAATCCGTACAAAAGTTTGTTTCGTTTGTTCGTTGCAGCAAAGTGACATTTAAGAGGGAAAAAATGTTTTTTGTTCTCAAATGTCACTTTGCTGCAACGAAAGTTCGTCCAAAAAAACTAATCGGAAATTTGCAATCGAAAATTCGGATTTGTTTGCATTCGTTATACCTGTAATTCGGATTCGAATACATCCGAATCTCCGAAATGTTGACCGAATTTCGATTCGGAACGAAATGAATCGCACATGTCTACTGAAATGTGCTGCAAACCTTTGTTGCATGAATGCATACTGTTTGTGTGTATATATATATATATAACTAGTTTTTATACTCTGCATCATAAGTTATATAATTGGGGGGAAAAAACAACCTTTAGTTCTGTAGCGCAACTGCCATTCGGCAACAGCTGGTAAGTCAAGTACTGTCTTCTCTGCAGCATTTTTATTCCTTCTGAAACATTTGATGACAGGCCCTGCTGAATGTCAGAGAACACCAGAAGCTGTACTACATGCAGCAATGCCAATGAGTTGTCCTCAAGCAATAGCTCTCCAAAGCACATGCAACGTGGCTTCATTGTTTTTGTTCACTATGGGCAATCATATTTTAATATGATTCAGTAGAGCTTAAAATTCCCTTTTTTTTTTAAAAGAAAAACAAAACAGCAATTTTGATAAACATTTGAAAATAGAAAAATAAAAAAAAACTGAACTGAAACTGCAATAACTTCCATCATTACGTCCATTTTGACATCTTTGTCTTCATTCATTACAGTGCATTGGCAGAAGTATAAATGTGAGATGCAGGAAATATTTTGCTTCCAGCATGCTGTGCCATTAAAAACCAATATTTATGGAAGACCTTGAAATGATAACCAGTAAATGAGCCTAGAACAAATTTCTACATTAAATTAGACATTACATGATTTTTTTTCTTTTTTCTTTTTTTATACTAAAGGTGTATCATGAAAAAATAAAATATAAGCCTTCGGCCATAAAATTAACTCTAACATATCTTTTAAAACATAAAACACTAGAACAGACAGTGTTTAACCCTGTGCAGTGTGCCAACCCTATAGACTGTGCAGTTCTGTTTAAGTGCAGGATAAAAATCCTCTGGTATGGCTTCCACAACCACATGCGTTAACATATGTTTAGCTTCTGGGACACTTGAAATTAATTTTCCAAAATGATTTCTGCAGTGTAGATTTCAAAATAAATTCCTTGTGAGTAATCATTTTGTTCACTGAAGATTTTTCTAAGCCCAGGCCTAATATTGGAATTAGCAATGACTTAAAGTTTCCCCAAATATTTTGCCTGCTGTGTAAAAAGCCAAGTCATGTTTATTTCACGAAGAAGGGGAAAAAAATAACACACAAAAAACTAGTCTTTCTCTGTAAAGTAATCAGTGGATGCCTTGCTTATAAAGCTAATGCCTTTTGTTCCCAAGGGACTTGTCTTTGCGGAAGTAGGAACAGAATGAAGAAGCTCAGCTAAAATGATGACATTTACAGGCTCTTTTACTCTTCTTTATCTGGAAAAAAAAAAGAAAAAAAAAAGCAAGAGTCACTTTTGAGTTTTTAGCTCCATGTGTTCTCCTTCTGTGAAAAAAAGCTGCTGGGAAAGGAAACAGAGGTATGTGTATAAAATAATATGAAGAGGCAGATATATAAATATTTTGCTCATCTGGGTGAAAGCCGTTCGCACAGCACTACTGTCACTATATGGAGCCAAGGGGCATAGAAAATTCCTATGCTCCTCACCGCCATATAGTGGAGTTGTGTTATTGGAAAGGCATTCACCCAGCTATATTCTGAGCAGAAAGTTTTTAAATCAGCCCCATGGTGTATTTTAAAGTAGATTATTATACATAATACTGATCATGGTGTTATTGAAGCAGAACTCCAGGCAAACAGCTCAATTCACAAATGAAATACATATACGTGTACTGTTTAACCTGCCAAAATAATTTGTATTTCTGTCTATTAGCTTCTGAGATTTACACAGCTCTGCCACACAGCACAGCCCTGTCTGGCAAGAAAGGATATCTGATTTTCCTCTGCTGCAATTCAGTGACACTTACAGGCCTTGACCCCCTCAGCTTCTGACAGTGACAGTGAGAGGAGAAGGAGCATACAGATGAGTTCATCTTTGCCACTCTGCTCTTCTTTCCTATCAGCATGCTCCTTCCCTATAGCACAACTGATTGGCTAGGGAATCGCTTCTCTCTATCTCAGTTAGTGCTCTGCTGTACAGGGGCTACAACTGGCTAATACCAAATCAAATTTAGGCATTTGCACTGTTTAAATGGATTTAAGTATGTATTAATGAATACAGAGCTGCTAAAACTTTGTGTCTTCTATATCTGCCTGGAGTTCAGCATCATCC